TCTGTCAGGGACCTCGGACCTCATCAAGCTAAGATTGCATAAGAATTGCAGTGGTTTAGATATCACGTGGGCTATCTCTTTAATAAAATGAAGTGGAATGAAATCTGGAGTTAAGGATTTGGATGTAGGCCATTTACGAAGCATCTCATAGATTACTGTGTCATCAAAATAGACTGAGTCATCCATTACCTCAAAGAATGGGGTAGGAACCTGAGGTAGGCCACTGCATTGATACTTCACAAAAGTGCTCTCAAAGAAGTCAGCAAAACATTCAGCTTTGTCCAGTTTAGAATACAGAAGTGCACCATTGTTAGAATTGATAACACCCAGTTTATTTCTTTCCTTTAGTCTAGCATTGAGGAGCCTGTAAAAGCATGTTCTATCACCAGCATTGATTATCTTTTTCTCTAAATTTGCATAGTATTTTTTCAGTCTCCTTTCAAGTTTATAATTGATTTTCTTATATAGATCTGACGCTTTTGGATTAGCGCTAAACTTGGCTTTGTGCCAAGCCCTTGCACGAAAACGAGAGAGGGAGACAATGTGTCGAGGCAACGGGAATTTGTGAACTGGGACCCTACGTAATGGCACAAATTGATCAATAGCATGATGGATGACAAAAATGAACAGTTCATACATTTCATTGACTGTGCTAACAGAGTTAAAGGAACCAAACCAATCGACAGTTTCAAGATAGCGAACAGCTCCCGTCAAATCAGCATTTTTATAGTCCCTTTTGACAGAAAATGCAGCACGAGTTTTAGTCCTGCAGCGCAAGGAGAAACTAACTGAAGCATGATCACTGGACCCGACCGGTGGACACAGGCTAACTCTAGTAATTAGATCATCTTTATTGGTGAAAACCAAATCCAAAATGTTTTTCCCTAGAGTACTACTAGAGACTCTTTGGGAAAGCAAATGGCTTTCACACATACTGAGAAAAGACCTAGTGGCAGGGGTAGTCCCCAAGGGAGGTTCGGTTCCCCAATCAATACCCGGAAAGTTAAAATCCCCAAGTAAAACAGAAGAATGATTGCACGATATCAGATCAGATAAGGCTTTTGTCATCTGATCAGAATATCGAACAGAACAGGATGGAGCTCTATATACTAGTATAAAACGTACTAGGTCATTCCGTGTCAGGATATCCACGCATAATATTTCATAACTATCAATGACTGACTCATGAAAAACAGAGTGAGGACATAACTCCTTGTCAATCAAAAAAGCAACTCCTCCACCTCTTTTACTGTCTCGATCGCATCTAAAAACTGTATAGGCAGAACAAGTGTCACCAAACAAACTAGAGTTGCTAACATCGCCATGCAACCATGTTTCTGTAAGAGCGAGTATAGATGGCCTCACGGATTCAAGAAGGAATGTAAGGCTTGAGATATTCTTTTGCAACGACCTGATATTAGACAAAACACACAAAAAGGAACTACCTACTTTCCGCGGAATGTTTAACGGTTTAAAGAACTGGAGAGAACCCTAGAGCTACCACGCAGGGTATTACTCATTTCATCAACCTGAACAGAACCATGAATCGAATTACTCAAATCATTGGGAACACTATGCCTAGACCTATCAGAGCGAATCCGATCTCTCTCTTCTTTGGACAAAGACGGTCTTATAAAAATTCCGTGTTTGTGAGGAAAATATCTCAATTGAGATGCTCTTCTGAGAGCAAGATTAGCAAAAAATGAGGAAGGGACAACAACTTTTAGCAATCTGTTATAACCCGGGCGCGGCCTACCCATGCGGTAGACCGCTGTCGGAAAACAATCAATTGACAAAAAATCAAAAATTTGGTTCACGCACATATAGTCGTGGTTGATCCGGAAGCCGCTAGTTCCTTGCGTCTCGGGTACACCAATGAGCACAAGCGACCTTCTCTGTTCGATTTCCTGGTAGTTGCCATAGTTGTCGTTGTTGCTGGGTGCTGGTCGTTGACCACTGGTGCTGGAACAATCGATTATTTTCCTTAATTTGGCATTTTGGGCTTTAACTTCGGCTAACTCTCCAGCTAAAGACTGCACCTCAGCGGTCAACTTACGATTGGACTCGATTATTCCTTCAAAATCCTTGCGACCCTCCAAGAAGAAAGCCAGAATCGTTCTGGCATACAAAGGGAGGGTGTCATCCTTCACCAACTCGCTTGCAGCACGAATAAAGTCAGGGGAGGTACGGGGCTCGTCAAATTCCAACTTCCTCTTTTTGAGGCGATCTATGGGTGCGAGCGGGTATTGAGGGGTTTCCATCAGTGGTCAAGAACGGACGGGCGGCACAATATCCAGATACCAGGAAGTAGTAAGGAAGAATTCGGTTGAAGATAGTCGACAGGATAGGTATCACACAGGTTGCGGTCACAGGAAGGAGAATCCAGCCACTGAGCGAATAGACACAACAGAATTCCAAATCGTCAAAGAACTGACGAGTAGGATTGAGTGGGCAACCAGCAAAGTGAAATCCTACACACAGGAAACAGACGCGAAGTGGAGAAATCCAAAGAAAATCCTCGAAGGCGCTGTGAGTCGTATAGGCTGGGGTCGTAGTACACTGCCGAGAGCGATCGACCGGTCGACACGGGCGCACGGTATCAAAAAATTTTGGAACGCTTCACGAATTTGCGTGTCATCCTTGCGCAAAGTCGTACATGTAGCCGCGCAGCAAAATCCAATCTCAAAGAAATTAAATTGCTCGAGGTAAGATGGAAGGAAGTTCTATGCAAAGCCATTCTTCTTCATAATAGTAACTGTACTTTAACAGGTATAGCTTTCAGCCCCACTTATGTACTTAGATACCCGCAAGCGATGGTGTTTAGTTTGGCCATTCTACAATGCAAAGTTGTGAAAAAAAATATCCACCTTGAAAATGTGCTAGTTAAGTTCCATAGCAACGTCACTTGCATACCTGAACAACAGTGTAATTTTCCTTCTCGAGCTGCGCTAAATTGAGAAGAAATAACCCCGAGGACGCTTTAGATCAGAAATCATTGTTGCGACAGAAACGGAGAACATAAACAATGCGATTGCCTTATCGGATAGTACACACTATCAATATAACTGCAATTTCACAATTGCTTCGAATTGAAAAACTAATAAAGTCAAGCATTTGTGCTTGTTTCAAGAACTAACGCACATCTCGTACATATTTTGTGATTATGAATTCAATTTGACTTTGCTATGCTTGTTATATTTTTCATGAAAGAGCTACCTCCCCAAAACAACAATTTTTCAATCACGAAAGTTTTTTCTCAGAACAGACGTTTTTTGTAATGGTCACGTCTTTCCATTATCATTCAAATGCCACAGAACACAAGAATTTTAGAGTTCACTCTACACTGTCCTTACTATAGAAATCCCTCTTTCTCCCAATCTAATAAAATCGTTCTCAGACGTGCGTCACCGCTAAGCAACAGATAAGCTTTATAGATGATTCATCGGAACCAACGACTAGACGCTATCGCGCCCTTTTGAGACAGTTTGTGATTGTAGGAGACAGTAGACCATGAGAGTGGGAGAGGTGCGTTGGATCAGAGAGAGGCCAGACTAGTCCGCTATATCGCGCTGTCCGTGCGAAAGACAGATTGCCTATATATGTTGTTACTATCTTGATTTTGAGATGAGAGTGTTTCATCATCGGTAACATTGAATACAATTCAAGAGACGTTATTCATTTGGCAAGAAAGAAACATGTGTAGCCATTTTGAACAATTTTAATGCATACTATAGTAACAAAATTGTTATACTATCGTAAATGATAGCGCAGAGCTAATCGTTTCCCAGCAATCTTACCAATTCACAAGTCAAAGATATTTTACTACAGTTCATATCTATCTCTAAATACTCCAATAAGGTTCAAAGAGCAATCTTCCTTATTGAGAAGTTTCTAAAAGGTCTGTAAATTTTTTCACTGCGTCTAAAAACAGGAACAAAAGGTGTTTGGTCTTTTTTCTAAACCTCGCTCATATAATTTTATTATTTTTGTTATTATTGTGAAGTTAATTACAGTAACAATTTACTTGAAACTACGTTAGGTCTCTTTGGTATCTAAAAAACCAAAAAAAAAACAGTTTTGAGCACATGTCATGTGTACAGAATTATCACGTGGCTTGTATTTGAGACTTTGTCGATTTGTATCACAGAGTAATTCTTCTTCTCTTTCCATTCGCTGAAGATAAAACTCCTCCCTTTTCGGAAGAGCATCTCACTTATATAGCCTAATCAGGGGCGATTGGTAACCTCTTTTGAATTAGGATCCTATCAAAACAAATTGTTTTAAGTGCCTCGTCTTCAACTAATTTTTGTAGGAATAAATAAGACTGCAACGATGATCCGCTAATTTGATACACGAGTAACAAAAAGTACGATCTTTGTTCTTCCGGAGATTGTAATGCATGTCGCTTTCTCGTGCATTACTTCTCACACACACACGCGCAAATGATACGCTATGAAACGCTTCGCTTAGCGAAAGTGTAATAGCAAATAATCAAGACTGTTTTGTTCGGAAAAGTCTTGACAAAGTGTTTGTCTGAAATATCACAGTAGATATTGTTGCTGACCGCTTGATCACTCGTTTTCTGCCCTCTTCAGCGACCGCCCACTTGCGTCCGAAATCGCCCTCGCCTGCAACCAGCCCTTACCAGCCGTTTTCTGCCAATTGCAATCAGCGTTTCAGATTGATTCGTTCTGTTTAATAATCGATGAATATTCGGGACTGTGAGAGAGAGGCGGAATATCTCTTCTCACACCTCAAATCAGAGAACAACACAGCGATGTTCCTTGCACAATATCCCTGAGATATCAAAAGTTCCACTGGTTGCCGAAAGCTGATGATGATGCCAATGCGTTCGCAAAGAAAAATCGTATTGCGTATTGCAGCTGTTCTCTTCACAACTGCTCCTTTTCTCGTTGCTTTCTCTGCTTTATCTCACTTTTTCAACATATACGCTGCGTTTGGTTGTCGTTCGTATACAATGAAGAAAGTGCTAAGACTTAGTGACAGGTATGTCGTCACTTTCACGTCTGACGACGCCTTTGAACTTGTGGGGAGCCAGCAGACGATTCCAGTCTGCCCTCCGAGAGCTCAAACCAAGAAGAGATGCGATTCGAGCAATGATTTCAGAGGCAAGTTTTTTTTTTCATTTGTGGTTTGACCATCGCTGCTACTTTATTCTTGACTCTCCAACAACTTCCGTGTTGAATTAGCAATTTCACGTCATTCAGCGTTTATCATTGTCTATCACATGGGGTAGCCTCTTGCGCTTGATAGATTTTCTCAGAAGATAAATTATGTTTAGCCTGTTTGATGTTCTCCCGTGTCATTATGTTTGACAATTTTGCTTCTCACAGCATGCGTCTCAAGACCGATCGCTGCTCTCGATGAACTTCTGTAACTTTTCGGATCAGGGCTCAACATGAGCTGACACCAGGGAAATTTCAAAACGAAGTCCTTTGATCTTAAAAATTTCGTACGAAGTCCCCTTTGACCCAAACCCGAAACGTTAAAAAAAATCTGAAAAAAAAAACGAAACGTCGCCTCAAAAACATCGCAATTTTTGTGTCTGCTTGAACCGATGCCAGATGTGCCGAGCCCTATTTTTTTCTAGAAATTGAGAGAAGCACAAGAACATTCAATTTATCTTTGCATCACTGTTACATGTACCCCGAAGTCAATTTTTTTTATCTATATATGATTCGAGCTAGATTACAATCCCATTATTTTCACGAGCTTTTTTAGATCGAAACAGAAAAAGCGGATATTAAGCCACCTTTCATCGACACACATGGGCGCACTCACAACTACCTCCGCATATCACTTACGGAGAAGTGCAACCTCAGATGTGCGTTCTTTTTCAGCAGATTTACATTTGAGAAAAACCAAAAAAATTTGGGGAGGGGGTTGCTTATCACCTTCCTGCCTTCAGAGCAAGCTTTGAGAGATTTTTGATCTGTAGCTACTATCTTGTCAAGAACATATTTTGGAATTGAATTATCAAGCACCACGCCTGCAGTTCAGGCCTCTACTGCATGCCGGAAGAAGGAGTGGCTCTTTCTCCATCTGCAAATCTTCTGACCTCAGATGAGATTGTTCGACTCGTTGAGTTGTTTGCTAGCCATGGTGTCGATAAAATTCGTCTCACAGGCGGGGAACCAACCATAAGAGGGGATATTGTGGAGCTCGTAGGTCAGTCTACAGGTGCCATGGATTATTTCACACATATCAGAAGATATTCAGGAAGGATTAGGAATATCAGAGGAATCAAGGATATAGGACTGACTTCAAATGGCATAGTGCTGGCAAAAAAGCTGCGTCAACTTCATAGCGCTGGCCTCACTAAGGTTGCTGTGATCTTACAAATGCTGTCTTACATTACTGTTAACACATTTCGTTTCAAGGTCAACATTAGCTTAGATACACTAGACCAACATAAATTCATGCTGATGACTAGAAGAAATGGATTCGCAAAAGTCATCAAGTGCATTGAACTTGCCGAAACCTTATTTCCAATGGTGAAAGTGGGTGTAGTGCACAATCATTCTGTTCAAGTAGAGTTCGCTGCTTGCAGATAAATACTGTGGTGATGCGAAATGTGAATGACAACGAGGTCAACGACTTTGTTGAATTGACAAAAGACCGTGTAAGTGCTTTCGTTGATTGTCATTTTGGCACTGGATATTGTATCTACAGATACATGAAAAAATAGACGGTATTCCCAGCAAAGTTCGATAATGCAGAACTGACAGTCGAATTACGCTCCACTATTCTTACAAGGGAAGGATACTTGGTCGAAGTGGACTTTCTATGTGAAATGTGAACTATCTTATAGAGCACTAGCTGGCTTACCCGGCTCCGCCGTATGTTCCGAATAGAAAATTCCATTTCTCAACCGATCCGGACCAAACTTGGCACACATACACTTCGGGCCCCGGCGGGTGTCACAGTCCACTTTTCGTTATCGATCGATGTCGATTTTACCGATTTTTTGCAAAATTTGAGCTAGGGGCTGAATTTGGCAGAGGGGTGTAATCGAGCATGCTGATCACCCCCCTGTGCCAACTCCCAGCCCCTTAGCTCAAATTTTGCAAAAAATCGATAAAATCGATATCGATCGATGACGAAAAGTAGCCTATGACAGCCGCCGGGGCCCGAAGTGTATGTGTGCTAAGTTTGGTCCCGATCGTTCAGAAATGGAATTTTCTATTCGGAACATACGTACAGACAGACATACATACAGACAAACAGACAGACAGACAGACAGACAAACAGACATTCAGCTTTATATATAAGATGGAACGCTGATTCCATATCTGTCCTTGTTATCCAAAACTTTTCTGGGAAGGAAGTCATGGGAATTTCTTGAGTCAAAAATTTAAGGGTTTAGTTGAAGTGAAAACAGACGTTGAGGTCTTTCCGGCACTCGAAAGAGGTACCCTATTTTCAGGCGTATGCGCCGCAGGGGATTTTTTTTCCAAAAGCGACCGCCCAAACAGGCCAGACGACCGCGACCAAAGGACCGTGCTACATAATGCTTTAGAGAATAGTGCGCCATAAGAATCGCTTTCGGAAACATAGTGGAGCGGCTGAGCGGCTCGCTTGAAAATTTGAAAAATGCTGCTTATACACCTGAAAATAGGGTAATGATTGGCATAAGTTTATTAGACAGAAATTACTAGTTACAGTCGAGTAGATTTTCCGCTTAGTATAGTGTGCTTGCACTGAAGGTGAAATGCGGTAAAATTTGCGCGTGGACAAGTAACCACGCCAGTAATGCCAACATTTTGCGCGCGCAAATGGCCGGCGTCACAGGCGTGGCCATTTCTTTACGCGCAAATTTTACCGCATTTCACCCCCCCCCCCAGTGCAAGCACACTATATTAAGCGGAAAATCTACTCGATTGTACATAAAGCGCCCAGGCAGTAATCATGGCCCCATTTGAGCTCACAGACTATAGTAATGAATGATTTCATTGCGGCTGTGCACTCGAGTTTTTACTCCAAAACCCCATAACACTCCCCTCCCAAAAGGGCTTTGCAGATAGCAAAAGCAGATTTGAAATCAGCATTCCATGCTCTATAAGACAGTATACATTTCGTATAAAAACGCCACTTCGACCTAGTATCCTTCCCTTGTTAGAGACATTTTCCGGGCAGATTTGGGACCACCTCAATTCTCACAGATTACTAAAGCGAGCTTCCCGTGCAAGCCATAGCCTGACTGCGGCTGCAACTAACCAAAGCAGGAGAGCGTGCCGGAGTAAAGACTGCAGCTAATGACAGCGTTGCAACGGCCGTATCCCGGCACGATTTCTGCTTCAGTAAGGACGAGAGTGAGTTCAAAGGCGGCTATGTCGGGACTTCTGAGGCGGACTCTCTTGCTTTAAAAGCGGTAGAAGCCGCAGACTATGGCTTGAATGCGGAGCCTGCTGCAGTAATGCCTACAGCAAGCCAGCGATCCCCTGACCTGTTCTGACTCATTCATAGTTTTGAAGAGTTTCACATGGTGGTCTCTATCGGAAGTACATCCTTTTTTCGATGAAAGTAATCGACTTTGGAGTAGCACTTTATGTCCCTACTAACACGTTGAGCCTTTATAGTCATTACGATTCGCTAATAAGAGACCCTTTCAGGTAAAGGTGAACACGAAGTTTTACAGTATTGGATACCTTTGCCAATTGTCAAAGAATTTGAGTCCATAAATTACGTCTCTCCGCAATCAAAGGGAAAGCTATTTCGGGATTTACTCTTGTTTTTTTTCTCTTGCCGAAACCAGAATTACTATACACCCGTCACCCAAGGTGACGTGTCGGTGGAATTTTCGATAAAGGTGACGGCTCCAAAACGTTAGCCTGGCTATAAAGGGTATTAGCTGGCATACATGGCTTCGCCCGGCTGTCATTACACCATGTCGAAGATCGCTACTTCCTAATCCATAAAAATTTTCCTTCTTCGTGTATTTTGTGACCGTTCATTGTCCCGCTGTGTTTTCGTGAATAGCATGCCCACTTACCGCCTATGCAAACCCGAAGTGCCTAGTTCAAGTTTTGCAAAAAATCTACAAAATCAGTAAAAGTAATAAATAATTCCAGAAACTAACATATTAGGCTCTTGACTAAGTTTTGCAATTTTCTCCATAACTTTTCTCTATCTCTCATTATGGCACGCTCACTTTCCGGCAATATGTAGATAACATGAGCTACAAAGCACAAATTTTTCGTTTTTTGATAACGAAATAGAAAAAATTGAGCTTTTTTTTCAAAACTACTGAAACTTGGGATTTTACTGGAATGCTAGCAAAGATGGAGCCGTTTGCAGAATAAATCAAACATATCGATCCAGAACTACTGTAGAATTACTGTTAAGATTGGCTCATTGAGCTCTGTAGAATAGTAAGAGTAGTTGTAGACTGTTCGAGATCTGACACCTTCGGGAAGTCGATCGACGCAGCTGAGCGCAAAACTGATGCTAACATCCGTCAACAACTAGTGAGCGAAACCTCAGAATTTGCCGAGACTTTGCATTAAGGGTAACTGTACATGCTGAACAAGACTATGCCATCATATCAGTGGCGTACCCAGGATTTCGGCTCGAGGGGGGGGGGGCAAAAATTTTTTTTCAATGAATGTGCGTGGCTAGCCCAGAAAATTTTTTTGATATGCTTCTCAAAATTTTCGCGGGCCCACGACCCCAAAGTTTTGGAAAAAGGGGGCGTGGCGACGCCACTGCATCATATTCACTTGCCGTGAAATTGAATTTTTTTATGACTTTACCAAAAAAGCATTGTTATGCAAAGTATGATTTTCGTGAAGAGCGCGTCGAGAACCCTTCCCTCTCCCCTCCCCTCTCCCCTCCCTCGCTAAACCAAGTTTTAGCTGAATGTGATGGTTCGGAACGATCCGCGCATTTTTTTCCTTTTTACTGAACATCTACAGTAACTCTTACAGGATTTGCCAGGATATGGAACAACCTGCCTCACATCATAATCTAAACATTGCCAAAGTTTGAGTGTACCATATGCAAAATGAGAAAAGGTACGGGAAAAGTTGCACTTAGTAAACACCCTAAAACTATTTGTCGTAACCAGCATGCGCGCTTAACCCCGCCCCTGTTCTAACCAACTACTCAGACAATCAAATGCTCTCAGCCGGCAGCCACAAAGCCACCGCCTAGACCCACCAAAAGCGCGGTGGCCTCATCGCCTCACTGTCGCTTCCCGCTGAGAGCTTTGTCGGAGTTTTGTCGGAGCTTGTCGGAGCGGGCTCAGCGGGCAGCGACAGTGGCTGCGATAAGGCAACGACGCTTTTGGTGGGGCCCGCTGAGAGCCTGTGATTGTCTGAGTAGTCGCGTAGCCTAAAACTTGCAAAAAAACATCCATAAAGTCGGTAAAGATAGTTAATGATTTGCAAACTAATATTGTATGGTTAGGCCAAGTTTGGTTTCGCCTTTGAAGAAAACAAGCAGGATCTTAGAACCATGTTAACGTTGGTAAGGGTTAAGATTAATAATTCTTCCAAAGTCACCCGATTATGCCTCAAAGCTTTCCGTTCAAACCGAGCACAGGGTGCAATGAGTTTGTATGTAAAATATGGCAAATGTAATAATACAGTATTTTAGCGGCTCGATGTTCGATTCATCGAATACATGCCATTTGGCGGAAATCATTTCTCCACGAAGAAATTTGTCGACTACAAAACGCTGCTTACATCCATCAGCGAGAGGTACAATGGCATGATCGAACGTTTGCAGGATGCGCCAAACGACACCACCAAGGTTTGTTTGGGCTTTTGCTACCTTGCTGATGAGTGTTAGTCTCTTAAAACGACAATAAGAAGACCACGATTTGATACTGACATGAGAAATAAAGGCCATCATAGTCTTTATTGGTAAGCTTAAGCTTCAAATTTCCGCAGAGGGAAAGAAAGGATAAAGTTCACGAAGTTTTGAAATCAATTGTTTGCGTCCGCTGAAGAGTACTTTTTTATCGCCCTTGATAGTTCGGATGAACAGAGAGGACTCTAAACAAAAATACAGAATTATGCTTCGCTTGAAGATCCCGTGTCGCGCTTTTCTACAGTTTTTATAATCCTCTGCGCCTCTGGTAACAATTGCTGCTTACTTTTCTCGTTCGTAATCTTTTTTAGGCGATCTTTTTCATTATCGGATCTAAAGAACACAAACAATTCTCTAAGCTAGTTGATCTCTATGAGTTGATAGCAGATTAGTAAAACTTAAAGCTGCTGTGATCTTGCATGACAAGCTGGAAGAAAAGTATTGGAACCTCTTGACGTGAGGAATGCATGAAAACCTTATTGCGATGTCATTTTGTGACTAAAGAGGACAGTAAGCCTATAAAGGTGTGAAATTTTTTAGTATAGGAAACTAATTATGAAAAATACAGGCTTACAAATTGACGGGATCAAAAGGACAATTCGGCTTTATCACGTCGATGAGTGAGCACTTCTGTTCTACCTGCAATCGTTTGCGCATCACCGCCGATGGGAATCTGAAGGTCACTATGTTCATACTTAACTAAAGAATAAGTCACTTTGACATGCTGGGCTACTTCATCAGCATTAGCGTACTTTAGCGACAGGCAGTCAACAGCTGCAATTCTGGCCTTAAAGTTTTTCCATCTAACCTATCCTTAGGTCTGCCTTCACGGAACAGCAGAAGTGAGCATGCGAGAACTTCTGCGAAGTGGCGCATCGCCAGAAGAAATAACAGAAGTTATACAGAAGGCGGTGTCGCGGAAGAAGAAACAACACGCGGGTACGTTTATGAAATTAATCACTTGGATTTGTGCTATCGCTGCAAAATGCTCTATTTATGATGTCGCAATAAAGCGCTTGTCAAAAGATATATTTAGATTATAGGTATGGAAAATCTGCAACATATGCCAAATCGACCAATGATACTTATCGGAGGATAAATAGAAGTATGCTGCATACTTTTCTTACTGCTTTGCTCACTTTATACTTGTTACGAAATGATGATTTTAGCGCACCCAGTTCTTTCTATAACAAGTGACCTCTCATCTCTACTCCTCCCATCCACAACAAGCATATCTTCTCTACGATTGTGTTCAAAAGGTGAATATCTGTTCGCTTGCCTAAGATTTTGTAGGCATTGGACTAAGGATGACTTCTTTCTTCAGTTCTATACCGACCATTTCATAAGGGGAAAACTAATCTCTTCTGACTTCCTCTATAAACTTCATATTACCATATCTGACAAAAATAGGCTCTAACAACAACAGGCAATGGGTTATATTTGATACAATTCTTCTCACACTCAATTCACTTATCGGGAAGTGTTATTTTCCATTGAGGCAACATCTACCGCAATCCAAAACGAAAGCAAAGATTTGCAATTATTTTAGGCCTCATTTTTCAAAAAAAATTTTGGAGGCCTGATTTGGGGACTTTTTGGTTGATACATACTTGCACGAGGGAGTAGTAACCGGCGAGGAGATACTTTTATGTAGCTATATTAGGACTGTAGAAGACTAGTTGCTGTTTTTATACGTAAAGAAGTAAAAGAGGAGTGTCAGTTATTAGGCTAATTCATAGATTAGTAACCTCGAATGTATAAAGCATTGACCAAATCAGCACTTCTCATATGTAAAATTCTACTTCATTACAGCTGCTGACAGTCCAGTGTATCTCTCGCATGTTTCAAAAGACGGGTCTGCAAAACAGGTATCTATCTAGACATCCCATATATATGGTTATACTATAAAATTGCAGGTTGACGTTTCTCACAAGCCAATTTCATATCGTGAAGCTGTAGCAGAAGGCAAGATTACGGTAGGTTATCGTTTATTGTGTAAAACCGATGCACGGATTCGTTTGGAACGATAATATACAAAAACTGACACGGAAAAATTTGAGAAGTAATATACACGGTTTCAAAAGCGAGTTCGATAGCTTTTTGTGCGCGAACATGTTGAGTACTAGAACAATCAGTGATTTTTACGCTCCACAGTCCCGCTTAGATGTCCAGATTGTAAGAGCCTCATGTAAATAAATATTAGGTCGTCTCGAAAGTTTTGTCGGTTTTTTCAAACCACTATAAAACCACGCACAATGAACACCTGAATGAGTTTCAACATGCATTCGATGCAGCTTTTTCTTCTCTTTCTTATGGATACATACGCGAGCCACAATCTTGTATGCTTTTTTCGATATTTGTTAAAATTCTCCATCCGCCAATTTCATCCAAAGTTCGGCTAATTTTTAAAAATTCCATTCTAATGTTTCTAAAATGTTTAGGTATGACTCTAATAGAGCAATTCTCGAACTACAACAATATATTTTTGAATTCTTCGAATCTGCTGCTTTTAGCTTGAAAAAAATTATTTTTTAAGAAGTCTCGATTTTTGGCAAAGTCATGAAACACGCAACTGCAGCAAATCCACAGAAGTTTTCAAAGTTTCTGCGAATTGAAAAATGATTCTTACTAAACATTATTTATGCAACATGACCAAGTTTGATTTGCCTTGAGAAACCAGCTTTTTGGAATTTTCGGTACTTTTACGTGGTAAACGTAATCAAAAAGTCGCGTTTTTATTAAATAATCAATTATAACGGACTTGGTAAACGTGGCCCATGTAACTTAAAATGAACGGAATGTAGCCAAAGGTTTGCTCTAAATAACGGTTACCAGCGCTTCTTGAAAACATCAGGATAAAAATTTTTAAAATTCAGGAAAGATTTGGCGTTACTGCTGAGTTGCTCAAAAAGCCATGGCGATAACATTGCAATGACAACGTAGATCAGAGAGAAAATACAGCTGTATGAAAGAGGATAAAAATCTGAATCAAATAGTACTTAGCTTGCCCGTGAATTGGCGTTCTGTGAGTTTCTGTGATCGATGAAAGAAACCGACAAAACTTTCGGGACAACCTAATATCCACTTATATCATGATTTCAGCTCACACCTGCACTCGTTCACCTGATCAAAAATAATTTGTCAAAGAAAGGTGACGTTTTGAATGTGGCTAGAATAGCTAGTGTAATTGGAGCAAAGTCTACCTCAACCATCATTCCACTTTGCCACAATATCCCAATCAGCTACGTGAATACCGAGTTCCGCCTTGACGAGGTAAGCAGCCATCATCTACCACATTTTTTGACTTATGAAATCCACTCCCGCGTCCAGGCAAAGCCTGACACCATCTGTACCTATCATGAATATAGGGCCCAGGAGAGGGGCACATACGTAAGTCCGCTCCTCCAATGTCGTCTCTTAATGGGGATAATGGACCTGGAACCGCGAAAATGCCTATCAAGCAACGCATAAATCATGTCAAGCCCGCCCACTTACGTAGTGAAAGCCGTCTGGGTCTCCAGGATAGGGCTCCTAGGTTTGTTGGGAGGGGGGGTGCAAATTTTGAACTTCATAACTGTAATCAAGGCCACGAAAAGTACAGAATGACAAAATCATGGAAGGCGAAATTCTGGGTGGACGCTGCCTGCTACATTGGTTCATTACTTTGAGCTAGGCCAAGAAAATTCTTCGCCGTAAATGATGTCATCTCTACTGGAGATAAAAACTACATCTTGCCGACGGTCTACTCTGCCTTCATGTCGAGTTGCTTTTATTAGTTTGGTGCAAAGTAAACGTTTTTCGCTCTGACTATTCGAATCCCCATTGAGTGCTATGAAAACCACCAAAAGTACCTTAATTTCAAGTGTGCAAGCCGCGGGGGATTTCTTTTCTAAAAGTGACTAGCGCTAAAGAATCTCGCTTCTAAAGGGCCGTATGCCGTCTTGCGTATCGCTTGAGAGAATCGTGCGGCATAAGAATTGCTTTCCGAAACACAATGAAGCGTCTGAGCAGCTACTGAAAAAACGAAAAAGGTGTGCCTTGTACGCGTGAAATTAGGGTGGGAATTTTTAGCAAACCATTTTTTGGCAATTTTGGCACACTCACCTGTACTGGTATTCCAAGTCGAAGAACCACTGGATAATTTCGCTAAAAGGTAAAAGGTTTGGTGGGGGAATTGCGCCTAAAAAAGCCGTGAAGAACAGGCACTGAGGGTTCGGTGTTGTCAATTATCAAGGATAAGCGTCACGGCGCTATGACACTGTAATTTGCGTTTTGAAACGTCAGCAGGAAACGCGATTTCAAAACAGTGTTTTGCGTTTTTTGCTGACGCTTTCCGCTGGTACTATATGTATTGGGTCGGAAACTAAGTTTGCAGCCCCTTCCATAACTTTACTCTCTTTCATCGCGGCACACTCGAATTTCGATTATATGTAGATCGTAATGTGTGCTACAGCTACGCACAAATTGTTCGATTTTTTAACAAATGAAAAATCCTAGGCATTTTTTAAAATTAGTGAACTCCGGGGTTTCATGGGATTATAAGCAGAAGTGAAGCAGTGTACAATCTAGACCATGCACACTAATCCGTGTGTACGAGTGTTGTTAGAGGTTGATTCATTTGGTGCGATGAAAAAGAAATAGAATTTGAAGACAATTCGAGATCTAGAGCCTGCAAAGTCAAACAAGTTGCTGTACGCAAAGCTGCTCAGGACAACCTACAATGACCAAGAAGTCAGAATCTCAGAATTCGCCTATACTTCGTATAGTGGGGTTATCTAACCTGCCACGATTATCACATACACGGACACACGAATATCGTATTCATTTGTTAAACGAACGCCTCTTTTCTTGTTTTGGGTGAGACCCGATAATGTAAACCTATGGTAATCTTTAAAAAAGCCACTATTATGCAATTTCATATGTTTTTATTATCAGCATGTCGAATAACCCCCTATGCCAAGTCTGAGCCAAATCTGTAGTGATTTTCCATGCATTGTATATTAGGTTGTCCCGAAAGTTTTGTCGGTTTTTTCATCGATCACTGAAACTCACAGAACACCAATCCATGGGCAAGCAAGGTACCATTTGATTCAGATTTTTATCCTCTTTCATATAGTTATATCTTCTCTCTGATCTACCCTGTCTTTGCAATGTTATCGCCATGGGTTTTTGAGCAGCTCACCAGTAACGCCAAATCTTTCCTGAATTTTAAAATTTTTCATCCTGATGTTTTCAAAGAGCGCTGGTAACTGTTAAGTAGAGCAAACCTTTGGCTACATTCTATTCATTTTAAGTTACATGGGCCACGTTTACCAAGTTCGTTATAATTAATTATTTAATAAAAACCGCGACTTTTTGACTACGTTTACCAAAAGTACCGAAAATTCCAAAAAGCTGCTTTTTCAAGGCAAATCAAACTTAGTCATGTTGCATAAATGATGTTTAATATGAATCATTTTTCAATTCGCAGAAACTTTGAAAACTTCCGTGTATTTGCTGCAGTTGCGTGTTTCATGACTTTGCCAAAAATCGAGGCCTCTTAAGAAATAATTTTTTCCAGCTAGAAACAGCAGCCATACTTAACCCTTCCTAGAAACTTTAGAATGAATTTTTTAAAAATTAGCCGAACCTTGAGCAGATAAAATTGGCGGATGGAGAATTTTAACAAATGTCGAAAAAAGCATACAAGATTGTGGTTTGAGAATGTATGCATAAGAAAAAGAAGAAAAAGCTGCATCGAATGCGTGTTGAAACTAATTGAGGTATTTATTGTACGTGGTTTTATAGTGGTTTGAAAAAACCGACAAAACTTTCGGGACAACCTAATATATTTGGTTATTTAGTTTTTAAGCAAAAATACTCTATTCTTTACAGTCGAAGGGCGTTCTTTACATTCGTTCAACAGCGAAGACGACATCCAATACTGGTGTCGAAATGGAGGCGCTCACGGCATGCTCCGTAAGTTTGTGTTCGTTCTTCGGGGTTATATGATTGAGAGTGACCTTAGTGGAGATTTACTTGTACCTTCAATAAAAGAACTTGAAACTATTTATTTCTTTGATTAGTTTCAGTTGCGACTATCCACACCTGTAAGCTTCGAGATATCCACATAGATTCAATGTCACCCAACTTAGTAGGCCTTATGTGTAGTTAGAGCTGCATTATTCTCCAAATTTGATTCAGAACCATCCAAAACAAACAACATGAGGCTGGTACTGACCTACTTATGTGGAGAAAGTAGGAAGTGATTACTGTTACAGATCCATACGCTTCATCAGTAAGCGAAACAAGATGTATTGTCACGTTTGGACATATCCTTTCAGGATTTCAGTTTTATTTTTGCAAAACCAACTCGAAGTTTTTGCATGCATTGACGATACAAGCTTCCCATTTTTGCGAACACCATTTTTCGGCTATTCAATCTATAAGAGCCTATCAAGGATGGTAACTTGGACGGGGAATCACTCTACATGAACCACTTCAGGTTGCTGCTCTGACGGTTTACGACATGTGCAAGGCGGTCACACAACAGATGGTGATTGGTGACATACGGCTTGTGTCGAAGAGTGGTGGTAAGACGAACTACAAAGGCGTCAGCGATTTTTGAACACAATCTGAACTTCTAATCAGTTTTCTCTACAAAAATTTCTCTCTTTTCATTTCATTAGGGTCTTCCCTCGTCTGGGGATTTGTACAGGTACAGCCATATCAGTGCGTTGAATTGTTGTGCATAAATTCAAAAATCTTCGCATATTACACTTCTCTGATTGATGTATATATTTATTATAACAAAAAAGTCACGACAGTTTCATTGAATCCTGAAAGATATTCTTGTATGATATCCTCCTCCGCCTACAGTATTATTGGCGTTTTCCCTCATTCTGCTTTTTCTATGAAAAAGCGAGTCGTCTGGTATGCTCGGCGAATCGGTGCGCTCCAGCGACGAATCAACGCCCTTCTCTCGAAAGTATTTTCGGATTTTGTCAATGTTTTGGTCGGATGACTCGCTCCTCTCTTGTTCACCCATCTTCCATAATAAATTGTTGTCCGAATTGTCCACGGCTACGTCGCTCACGCTGAGACCCTCTCTATTCAAAATAATAGTAGCATTGTCTTGATTGAGGATCTGTTCAATGAGGTTGGAAGCCTTCGGCAACACCGTTGCGTCGTCAATCTGGTCCCCAAAGCGGCCTTGAATCATGGATATCTGCAGCTCATGAGTGGTGTCCAAAACTTCATCATGATTGAGATTTCGAAACGACTTGTGGTCATCTTCTCCGCTGATAGAAGCAGTGACCTAAACGCATGGTAATGGGGAGACGGTCAAGAGGCGCGATTTCTCCGGTTGTCACCAACTTAAAACTCCAGTTTAGTGCTATGCGAGTCTCTAAAAATTAACAGATGAAGTGCGTTGGCTTACTACCTGTCAAAGGTTACCACCTGCTGAGTTTCATGGTTTTTGCTGTAAAACGGACTGAAATATCTATGAAGTTGTTCTTAAATTCATTTTTATGGGTTATTGACCTTAAAAATTGCTCTGTTGAATTTTTTCCTGAGTATAAAAGTTGAGCAGCCCATGCAACTATCTAATATATCTTTTTCTAAATTTCATATACTTCTAGAACGTTGTAAAACACTTAAATGTGCTATTTGGTGTCCAGCTGGCAATAAAAATCGCGCCTCTTGACATACACCCATGGTAATGATCACACTAAGAGGAAATTCAAGCCGTTAAAAGGATAAAAGGACAAATGGAAATAGATATCATCAAAGTTAAAAAATCGTAAAAATTGAAAATTGTAATTTCTTTGATTGAATGATTTGCTAGACCTACCCGCTCCAGCGCCGCACTAGCGCCCTGCTTTTGGTTGATCGAGGCGCGCTTACGTAGATCACGCGCGCTAGCACGGCATTGGAACAGCGCTGGCACAACTTCGACGCACATGCAGTTTTGAACGCCGCTTACTTACAAGAATTTTGTACAAGGTAGTGTATGATAGTGTTAATCTGGCGAAATTTTAAGAAAATGATTTACCTTGCCACAAACTTTGTAACCGATTCTCTCATCAACATGGCTGTAAATTGAGTATACTTTGCGTCCTTCATAATGATGCTCGTGATTGATATCCTGTAAAGATACATTTTTCTTAAAGTTTGCTCCTTTTTTGATACATACCTTTAGAAACTCGCTCTCATAGGGACATAGACCAGAGTACAGACCTACAACTCGGTCGCATATAGGAAGTGTGCCAAGTGCGCATGCAGGCAGTGATATTCCAGCGATCTTTAAGGGTAATGATTAGTCTAATCGTGGTTGAAGCCTTATTTAATAGGCAAGATCACATTAAAGGTCATTCCATGGTTGGGACCAGCCAAGCCTAAGAATGTGTCCACATAACGAGAGAGTGTGCTGCCTAGTTCCTCTTTTGTATCCACGCACTGCCCTAAACCGAGCACAGACAATAAATAGCTTCATAACCAGTGGCGTACCGAGGAGGGTGAGGAGCGGGGGGGGGATTTCAAAGTTACTTACATGGGTTATAAAATTGTGCAAATGATTTGTCTGCATTTGTTAATAATTAAAATAATTTTTAAAATTTTTGAAAACTTCATTTTAGCATTATAAAAAAATTTTCGCGGGCGTGGCTGACCCCACGCCCCCATTTTCTGAAATTTCGGGGTTCTGAGCCTGCGAAAATTTTGGGGAGCATACCAAAAAAATTTTCGAAGTGCGTGGCTGACGCCATTTTGTCCCCCCCCCCCCCCTCTCGAGCCGAAATCGTGGGTACGCCACTGTTCATAACAGAACAAAGAGACTAACGCTGACCTCCCAACATAGCTTTTCTAGCAATCGGTACTCCCAGAGAGAATGCCACAACGTCTACGTTCTTCCTTGTGTAATACCGCACAGCGAGAATTAGAGCACGAACCTGTACAAGATTGTTGAGCTCCCTGTTCCTAACGAAGCACTATTCACTAGCCTGCTTCACGTATTCGCACTTCATCGAATACTGTGTCCATTGCAATGGATTTAACCGTGCACCATAGGCGTATGTGGTTGAGTAGAGTTCGCTGTCCTTATATCCGAAACCTCTGTAAGGTTGGCAATGAATATGGAGCAATGAAGAGAAGAGCAGGAGGAAAATAGTTGAGAGAATACCATCAAGTATACTCTAGATTATAGGTGCTAGGCTGTTTCAAAGGTTCTGCGCTATTTTTAGTTGCCTTGTTCTTACCTATGTAATATTTTTTAATGAGTAGAGGTCTCACATAGCCTTACTTTTCGAATATTTTTTCAAAGATCGAACACAAATACAGTTTTTCAACAAGCGACAACAATCTACAATACCGCTCACAGAATGTGCAGAATTTGTCGCGGACTTCTCACCGGAATTCCGCAACATTCACGAAATTTTGCACATTCTGCGAGCGGTATTGTATCTATAGCGACAAGTGATGTGCTAAATATTGCATATGTTAGAGTAAAGCGAAGCAACCAGGCACCATAAGCCAATTAGTTTTCTCGTTCGCGACGGCAAGAAAAAAAAGTCAAAAAACGGAAAGTCGGCCTACTTGCCTACTTGCAATAGCTTAGATTTATGGCTTTTTTTTTATTGCCCATGAAAGTTTCCATGTAGCAAAGACAAATGAAATTCTCAGCTATCTAATACTCTCTAAAGTATAGGCTACTCAATGATGGCAGCCATATATGTCTGCTTTGTCTTATATGGGAGCATATGTAAAATAGACGGTTGAAGGAAACGCAAAATTCTTCGAATTTTCCCTTCTCTCTCACTTGACTTTTTCGCACGGCATACTGCAAATGATAGCTATAATCTCTCTAAATTCAGCAAAATTGATTTATTGCATTGTGTTGGTTTTGAAAGGGTTATAACATTTTATCAGAAATTCTGCAAATCGGACAGAACTTTTGACGTAGTATATCTGAATATTAATAGTAGTAGAATAATATAATATCTACCAGAATATACACCATATGAACGTTGATGTATTTGGCATGAGTTCGAAGTTTACATTGGGTAGTTTAAAAGCTACGACCCTTTTTTTCGAACTTATCCACATTCCAAATTGTACTTCATGCGAACTTCTTCTTCTTCCAAGCAGCCATATTCCGAACTGGTTTCTCTCGTGCATGCTTGGATGTCGAGCTGCCGCACATGTTTTCTACCTTATCTAACTATGTACAAAAATTTGAAAAGATCCCATTTTTGACATTTGAATTGGACTCGAAAACTTAGACGAAGTAAACTTGTGATGCGGTCCTTTTCTCCCCTTACTCTGATTCCTTTGTGGGATTTTCGATACAGATTATTGATAAGTGAGTTATATGTTATTTTGAGCTTATAGAACTACACGTCTCCAACAAGTAACATTTGAAAATCTTTCCTTTTGTGATAGTCTTTTTTCGCGATCTTTCCTGCTTGAAAGCGTGATAGTATATGAGCAGCGTTGAGCGTGGGGTCAAGCGCGCCCGGTGCTCGTATTGGGGGTAAGAGCAAGGGAGAGGGGGTCGTAATCACGAAGCGAATTTGTTCAAAAATTGAGAAATACTAGGATCGAGTAAAGTGAAGAAGGAAAGCGCTCAACCGTGAATCTCAGAACTCCAAGAGGAACGAATGTCGTGAACAGCATGCTGATTTACTCGACTAACGAAGTCTCAATTAAATTTCAATTGTTCATCTTACCTGACACATAGCGTAAGCTCACCAAAGAAGCTTTTTGTGTAAATTGGGTATAATTTCCGTAATTAACATGCCAAATTACCTCAACGAGCCATTACCTATTACCCTAATTTCACGCGTACAAGGCGCGGCGGATTTTTTTCAAAATCGACCAGCCCAGACAAGCCAAAGGGCTTTACAACCACAGGACCCTATAACGTGCTGTACATTGCTTGAGAGAATCGTGCGATGTAAGGATTTCTTTCCGGAATACAGTGAAGCGGCTGAGCGGCTCGCTTGAAAATTCGAAAAAGTGCGCCTTATACGCGTGAAATTAGGGTACATTTTCTAGTGTTTCCTAGCGTCTAAAAAGCGTGATTTTCTGATTAACTTGGTCACAAAAGTAAAAGAAGTCAGCTTTTATGTATTCATAACGAAGTATTACTCTTCATTAGTCTATGGCAGAACTGAACTTCATATCGCTTTCAAATAATGGATTAAGAAGTGCTGCCAGGATGTTACACCGCGTTTTCTACCTCGATTGCTCCAACTCCACCGATCAACACAAAGCCAAAACAAGTCGAAGTGAGCTCAAACACCTGCTGTGAAATCTTCGAGGTTTATGACCTTTCCAAATGCCTTCAAAATCGAGAAATCGCTCTAAATCTGGTATGAGATTGAGCCCATAGCCTCTTCTCGATACAGTGAAAATTTGGAGCCGAACGCACTCCCAGAAATATTGTGGCCCTTCCAATAGGCCCATTCTAATCAAAATCAGGCGTCGAAGTGCAACCACAGAAAATAGGGCATACAGTTCTCAAAAATCTGAAAACTCTCTAGAGGGATGATGTCCTCCAGAATGTCACATTCTGAGGTTCCGGAGGTCAAGAGGAGGAAGGAGGGGTCGTTTGAGGGCTTCAATGGAAGGTGAGGGTCGTCTTTAAAAGACTTGTGCCTGACCTCCTGCTCGACTCTGGTTATGAGTACCGTTTCCAAGAATGAGTATGCAGCATATTGCAGTGTTTTCTCGATCTCGTCGCTAACAAATCTTTAAAGGCTATGAATGGAAAATTCCAAAAACGTTTGAAAGCTCAAGATTAGACCAGATCGGTACAAATAGAAGATCGGCATAGAACTGAGAGAAAAGCGAGAGAAATCATTTTGAAAACGTAAGTGCTTCAATGAAGAAAAGCTGCTGTCAAATGCGGTTGAAAGTGTTTCCCTACCATGCCTCTGTGATTTCCTGATAGGTCCAAAAAACAACAGCACTCAGTATAGGAACTTTTGCTATTTCAAACTCTACTGTGTGAAGAACTTACTTATAACGGTTGGCTACGGCTTGCATTCTGAGTCCTGCAACATCGGAAACCCCATGAACAAATACAACAGGATCGTGGTTCAGGACTTCGTCGTCGTCAGCCTTGCCACCGAACGATCCCACACCACCCAAGTCGCTCCTGGAATTTCTGGACACTCATCATAACTCTGACATTAAGACTATTCCACGTGGTCATTGAGAAAAGTACAAACTCAATCAAAATCCTGCCCACCTCTGAAGTAGATCCTTGAACTTGGTACCGTAGTCTCTCTCCAGAAACTCGGCGAAGTGTTTGGTAAAGAAAGCATGCGCAAGGAAAATTAGAGAAATAAAAATGTACGTAAATAGCATATCAACTGGATGACCGTCTCTGTTCCGCTCTTCGCGAGGTCTTTTTGACCTCATTGAAAACTAGCCCGCGAAGACCAAGGACCAATAAAAACATCTGCTCTATTATGCACGAATACACTCGTCTGCTAACACTATCTCCACTTTTAGGTTTGACGAAAGTGTATGCAAGCTTCTTGGTAAGCATAGGATGCTGGATGCAACAAACTGTATAGTTTTCACTAGTGATGTACCCCAAAATATTCTTGGGAGCATAAACAAGTTTGGATGTTAGGTGTTTATCTGCAAAACGCAAACATACGCGCGTATTTCGCTCACTCGCATCCGGATTAGGTATTGGATGCGTGCAAAATAGAAATGGTTGGATAGTCAGTGTTTCTATTTTCCTAATTATTTCGAGTTTTAGAGACCCATGGTCAATAAATACAGGACGTTTTGAAAGTGTGCTTCCAAACAACACTGCGTTCAAAGGTTCTCACAAACGCCATTGGGCAGGAAAATGTAGAGGCCAAGTGAAAGCATAATGAAGCATAATAGCAGCATAATAAATGACAAATACCATATACTATAAGAAAGAAGACAGTGATAAGGTGCGGCATCTGGATTGTGTGAACAAGACTTATTTAGGTCTCTGTCGTCATAATATGCATTATATTAAGTTGTCCCGAAAGTTTTGTCGGTTTTTTTCATCGCTCACTAAAACCCAAAGAACACCAATCCATGGACGATCTAGGCATAATTTGATTCATATTTTTATCCTCTTTTTACAGCTATATTTGCTCTCTAATCTACCCCGTCTTTGCAATATTATCGCCATGACTTTTTGAGCAGCTCAATAGTAACGCCAAATCTTTCATGAATTTTAAAAAATTTTATCCTGATGTTTCCAAAGAGCGCTGATAGTCGTTACGTAGAACGAACCTTTGGCTACCATGTACCCATTTTAGATTACATAGGTCACGTTTATTAAGTCCGTCATAATTATCTATTTGATAAAAAACGCGGCTTTTTGATTAGGTCTACCACGTAAAATTACCGAAAATTCCGAAAAGCTGATTTTCTAAAGCAAATTAAACTTGGTTATGTGGCATGATTACTGTTTATTAGCAATCAAGTTTTAATTCGAGGAAGTTTCAAAAGCTTTCATATTTTTGCCGCAGTTGCGTGTCTCATGACTTAGCTAAGAATCGAGACCTCCGAAGAAATAATTTTTTGAAGCTAAAAACAGCAGTTTAGGACAATCTAAGAATATCTCCTCTTATTCCGAGAATTGTTCTATTTGTGCCATACTTAAACTTTTCCGAAACTTCGGAATGAAATTTTCAAATATTAGCCTAACTTTGAGCAGGTAAAATTGACGGGTGAAGAATTTTGGCAATTATCAAAAACGGAATACAGGATTGTTGCTCGAAAATGTTACCATAAGAAAGAGAAGGAAAAGCTGCATTGCATGTTGAAACTCATTCAGGTCTGTATTGTGCATAGTTTTATAGCGGTTTGAAAAAAACCGACAAAACTTTCGGGACAACCTAATAGCATCTGTAAAAACAAAGCACTTATCTTGTTTCCTGGAACAGTTTTGTAAATATGGTTTTTGAGTTTTAATTCTGCAATAAGCGCTGTGCCATAGTAGTGTATAGACCGCCGCTTGGAATCGTGCGGCAATATATTTTGATCCTTCTTGTAATTCGAATTAACATTCAGTCAAAATGTTTTTTAACTGAGCAAAGTGCAATTGTTGAAAAGATTTCGAGATGCTTACAGGCATGTCCCGAGTGATTCGCGCCTTGGGAGATATTGCTATGATGGGGTTTCTGGTCATCCCACTGATCTCCAGGCGCAGTCCGGCTCGTTGATGTTCCCCCTGGGCCGAGAAAATATCCCTTGAACCGGCGCGCGCTCGGACGACTTCGCTTACCGTTCGGCGCAAGACCCCACGACCTCTCTCCCGCATCGTGCATGCTATCAAAAGCACAATTTACAGGCAGCAGGATCTTCGCGCCAGGGCCTCCCAACTCAAATTCTCGTCCGAGCTGCCTTTCAGAAGTTGGGTAAACGCCCCGAAAAAGGTCTTTTCACCCATTTCAAAGCTCAAATTCGGGGTCTACGGGTCGGAAAGGCCCAGAACATGCAAAAAGATGGAAATAAAAATCTGCCGGGACACTGCCTTCAAAATTCGAATACTCAAACCGGTTCACTTTCAAAAAGACACCTGCCTAAAATTTTCCAACTTAGATAAAGTTAGATGATCTCCTCTTGTAAATCCTTTTACCGTAACTGAAGCAAACATTTTGTGGGCGATTTTATCTTACTGATGTAAATATTATCATCTTCAAGATCCATTTTCACTTTAAGGAATGAACCCGGTATTGAAACGCTTCCAAATCTCTCCACTTTGTGTTGGTAAGATCTTCCCAGTGATCTTCGTTTCGCAAATGCGAGCACCTAATTGTGCTCCAATTTGAACAATAGTATCTGTCCGAATTAGAAATCAGTAAGAGTAGATACTGTTGAAAGGTAATGTCTTTTAACAGCAAAAGAATATGTATGAAATGTCGGAAATCGGTGTTTTGCGTTAGGAAAACATGGGGTACCTCGGAGGACAATGCACTTTAGTAGTTCAAAGACCAATTAGGTACATTTTTGCAGACACGCATCCATGTGACGTCACAGAGTCTTCGCGCTTTATATATAGTACCAGTCCGAAGCGCCGCTTCGCGGCGCTCCGGACTGGCTGTGTGTGTGAAGTGGGATATGACTCTCAAAGTTAGAGCGTGGAAACCTTTTCACCTCCAAAAGTATGGCGACTTCTCAGACACATAACGAACTCGGAGATCATCAAAGTTAGATGTCAGGATCTCCTGCTTTAAATGGTTTCCCAAGTTACATCATTAACCAAAGTGATAAATTAATCGCTTCCTCTCAGCTTTCTTTGCAACTCGCGTTTTATTGTCATTCCTGAGTTCTGAGCAAACTGGCCTCCCCCAACCCAATTCCTTTTCATCCAAATGTTTCCTTTATAAACTGCCCAAACTACCGATCTTTTCTCGCATTTTTAAATCCTTTTAATCTTACTTAATCGCTTTCGAGTCTAGCTCCAAAGATGCTGATGAGAAAATGCTCCACCTTACACCTTTAAAGTCTGTGCACCGAATCAGGCCAAAATTGATGTGATGAGCTGCGTAACGCAAAGATTCTTTATCATGTCTGCGGTGTTAGAACTTGTCCGTTCCCACCTTTTCTTTGAACCCTCCTGCAATGCGAAATGCAGCGCAAGCCCTAAGCGTTGGTGTGCGGTTTTGAGCCAAAGTTTCAGCGTTATCACCATAAACTGTAGCTGCCAAAGTTGCTCATTCCCACATTTGCGAAAATCCTCGAATACTCTCAGATTTTCACATCCGAAAGTTTTCTGACCAAAATGGCCGTCACAAACCCGGTAAGCTTTTCCCAGCTATGTACATTTTCATGGCTGTTTTCACCCGGGGCTCTGCTCTCCTCATCGACTGTCCCTAGAACTACCTTAGAAGGCACATATGAAAAGCTGGGGTGAAGTAAGCGACGTCCCTTGTCATAAAAGGGCCGCGGGCGAACACTGCTATGGCTTTTCATCAGTGGGGACGCCGCTTCTTTTTTTGCCACTGGGAGGATTTTCATGCATATGGGCCTTAAAGTAACTATTCTGAATTCTTTGCGAGATTTCAGCAAGAGATTCAACTCAACGCACTTGAATGCATTTAGCCAAAATTCTAACTTACTATTATAACATTTCCTACATGAAAAAACCCCCTTCCTCTTCACGAAATATGCTTAAAAATTCTAATGCCAGAGCTCGCGTTCGCGTCCTATATGGTCTTCCCAAATCGTTCAACAATTTGGAAAGACTTCTATATAAGACGCCCATATAGGACTATAAATTCCACCCGAAATGCTCTAAAGCGCACCCATTGTCCAACTCATCTTGGTAGGCTATTGACTCGAACTCCGTAAAGAGAGCTAGTGTTGAAGCGTATATCCAGTTTAAGCTGTTCATTCAAGCAAATCACCGCTGTCTATACGATTTTGAGGTAGTGCAATGTTCTGACAAAATTGCACTAAAAAGCTACATGTTCCTGAGGTTAGCAAGGGTTCAAGGGTTGAGTTGATGGTTAGTGAAGCGTCTCTTTTTTCCCATCTCTTTTGTTCACACTTGGTATATTGATAGCAGACAGACAGCATGTAGCTCTTTCCAAAACTTCTTTCACGATCACAGTACCTTTTGCAGTTTTTTTGAAATTTTCAGTCTTTGGATTAATTTAAAATCCTGAGATGAAGTGTTCTTTTAGAACCTGCGTTTCTTGCAAAGTGAGCCTTTTGCATAACGTTCAGTGTTTCAAGGCAATTCGCATCACCATGTTTATCACTTAGTGGATAACAATTTGGAAAGTTCGCACAGTGTTGATGTTTAACTATTTTCTCAAAAAGGTTCGATTTTCACAGTGAGTTCAAGGAATTTTCATGTGAAGATACGTTCAGCATGCTTCATTCGCTTCTTTTGCTTCATTCTTGTGGAAGAATTTTTGAGTAAAATTTGAAAATTTTTAATGAGATACGTTTGGTAATGAAGACAAAAATGGAATGGTGCATAGGAAAATGGACAATGAGTGATATGATTTTGCTTGATTTTTACGGAAAGGTTCAATTTTGAGATTTGTTTTTGCACGTAAAGATACGTTTAGTGGTAAAAACAGTGATGATGTGGTGCACTGATTAAGAAAGAATTGAGGAGATGTAATGCAGATATCAATGTTAAGTATTATCACCGACCTGAAGATTCTATCCGACGTTTGCTTTTCGCTTTTCGCATTTTGCTTAAAATGGTCGACTATTGACTCTAAAATTGTCGTTCTTGCTTTAACTTGTGATAGGCAAGAAAGGAGAATATCTAAGTTTTCGAAACATCGCTTTTGAAGCTCTCTATCAATTTCTAAAGTGAATTTGAGCTTGAAATTGCAGGAGTCAAATTTTTTAAGCAGGTTTGCTAGTGCTCTTGAGTGAAATGAGATTGCCTCTTTGAAAAA